CCTTCCTAGAGCAGGCTTTCTAGCCAAACTGAGTTACCTGGGAAGAAGAGCCTTGGTGAGAGAGAACCCAAAGATCATTGTGGCTGAGCTCCAGAGATGCAGTCAGGAGATGAGAGAAAGTTGTAGAAAGTCAACCATCACTGCAGCCCTCCACCAGTCAGGGCTTTATGGCAGAGTGGCATGTTGGAAGTCTCTCCTCAGTGCAACACACGTGAAACCTTGCAGAAATTTTTAAAATTCTGTAATTTTCTCTTCAATATGGGGTCCATCCACGTAGGGTCGCGGGGTTTCTGGTGCCTGTCTCCAGCGGTCAATGGGCAATCAGGCAGGGTACACCCTGGACAAAGTGCCAGTCCAGCGCAGGGCAACACAGAGACACACAGGACAAACAATCGTGCACACACACACTCCCACCTAAGGACAATTTAGACAGACCAATCAACCTAACAGTCATGTTTTTGGACAGTGGGAGGAAGCCAGAGTACCCGGAGAGAACCCACGCATGCACAGGGAGAACATGCAAACTCCATACAGAAAGATCCCAGGCCGGGAAGTGAACTCAGGACCTTCTTGCTGCAAGGCAACAGCTCTAACCACTGTGCCACTGCACAGCCCCAATATGGGGTGCTGTGTTTGAATTAATGAGGAAAAAATGAAATTAATTGATTTTAGCAAATGGCTGCAATATGGCAAAGAGTGAAAATTGAGGTGGATCTGAATACTTTCTGTACCTATTGTATATAAAAAATTATATGGAAAATATACACGTAATTAAATTATATTATGTCTCCTTTTTGGCCAACCCTTTTTTCAGTGCATCCTAATTTATCAAATCTTAAAAGAGCTGCATGTAAGTCAATTTTATGGATAATGAGCTAAAACTGAGCATGTAGTAGCTATGTGACATATTTCTCATTAAATCTTGAAATTAATATCCTTTTATTGAAACAGTCATGGCACATTCAGCTATAACAGATTAATCTTTAACTTCAATTCAAGATGGCCACCTTCTTAGCAAATACAAAAAAAATAATAATTATACAGAACTCAAGCTGGATTTTTAGTTTTCTAATATTTTTCCAAATTTTACCTAAATTATTCTCCATCATTCCCCTCATCACTTCATCGTTTGTTCACCTAAAACTATCCTAATTTAAAATGGTGATATGAAAGGTGAGGAGCAGTGGTTCACAAACTTCACCTAATGTTCTATAAAATAACACCAACATCTAGCCTAGAAATCTAGACCAAGGCAAGTCAATCTAACCAAGCTCCATTGTTGCCTCAGCAGGTCTACCATTGGCCTAATCAGTTTAATGTCTTGCCAATCACAGTGTTCTGTTTGTTGGGTGGTCTTGAAGCTGTAATGACAATCTGCAAAACAAGCTAGCTTTTAAACACAAACACGGTCATAGCACTCTCACCCCTCCCTGAGCCATGTCTCTCTGATAGTGGAACGAGCATTGCCACAGTAAACAAGAGAGAGCTAAACACCAGTCATTGTTTCTATGTACAAATGTATTTTGTTTTCTGTTACTTCAAATGGTGGTTTTCCTTTTGGGACTCCAGTAGTTTGTGCTAAATTTGAAGTGGTAGCAGCTGGGTGTTTCTCCATCTGCGGTGTTCTGTAGCAAAATGCACGAGCACGTATGTGCAGTTGTTTGATGAGATTGACAACCAGATGGTCCAATACTTGGTTTCGGACTGACCAGTAATAATCCCTGAGGCTTTTGGACAAATACAAGAACTAAGTAATGTAAATAAAGGGACACTTATTGTGAAGTATTACCAACTTTTTTTTAATACAGAACCTCTCAAGGTAAAAATCTGAGGGCGCGTCACAAAAACAAAACAGAAAAAAAAGATTTACAAAATATAATGAATAATTGGAATAAGGAAAAATGTGAGGGAAAAGAAAAAAACTGAATGAGAAAAAGGTAAACATTGGATACCAAGAAAGTGAATTGGTAGAAGCAGCAGCGTGAAGAGGAGCTAGTGAGGAAGAATCATCCGAATGTTATGCCAAATCCAGCTTGAACAGGTAAGTATTCGGCTGCTTTTTAAAGGAGACCACTGAGTCCACTGCTATCAGGCTCAGGGAGAGAGAGTTCCAGAGTCTGTGGGCCACAGCAGCAAATGATCTGTCACCTTTGACCTTTAGCCTGGTGCTCTGCACAACCAGTAGGCTTTGGTCACTGGACCTCAGGGACCTGCTGGGGTGCAGGGACAGAGAAGATCACCAATGTATGATGGTGCTTGTTCATAAAGGCCCTATAGACCAGAACCAGGACCTTGAAATGAACCCTGAAGTTGACTGGCAGCCAGTGAAGCTCAAGTTCAGAGCGGGACAGAATGGGACTCAGCTTAGCAATGTTCCTGAGATGAAAGAAGGAAGAGCGAACAAGAGAACTGACATGAGAATCCAGGGTGAGAGCTGGGTCAAAGGTCACACCAAGATTCCTGACAGAGGGTTTGGTATGGGAAGCAAGCTGACCAAGAGAGTCTCCGACTTTGGGAACCAGCTTGTCTGGGGCACAGATGAGGATCTCAGTCTTATCTTCATTCAGCTGAAGAAAGCTCCCAGCCATCCAGGTTTTGATAGAGTCTAAGCAGGTGTGTAACAGCTGCAGCTTAGACATCTCATGGGGCTTAAAGGAGATGTACAGTTGGATGTCATCTGCATAAAGATGGTAGGAGATTCCTTTGAAGGAGCTCAGGATGTGCTGAAGAGGAAGCAGATAGAGGAGGAAGAGCAGAGGCCCAAGCACGGAACCTTGTGGGACACCATGGGTAAGGGAGGTGGTGGAGGACTTAAACTTGGAGGCCCCAACAAAAAAGGAGCGCTCAGACAGATAAGAGGAGAACCACTCCAGAGCAGTTCCTGATAGGCCTACCCAGTCTCTGAGCCTCTCCAGTAGCAGGTGATGGTCAACAGTGTCAAAGGCTGCAGTCAGGTCCAGCAGGACCAGAACAGAACAGTCCCCTGCATCACTGTGAGTCAGAAGGTCATTAGAGACCCTAAGAAGAGCTGTTTCAGTAGAATGAGCTCTACGAAAACCTGACTGGAAGCTATCATAGATGTTATGTTCATCAAGAGCAGCTGTGAGTTGTTTAGCCACAACCTTTTCCAAGATCTTGGAGATGAACGGAAGTTTAGAGATGGGTCTGAAGCTGCTATGGAGAGAGGGGTCGAGACTCGTTTTTTTAAGAAGCGGGTGGATTACAGCATTTTTAAAGTAAGCAGGGACCTGACCAGAGACCAGAGAAGCATTAATTATAGAGAGCACGCTGGGAAGGATGGACTGAAAAGCACTTTTAAGCAAAGATGAGGGTAAGATGTCGAGGGGGCATGCAGAGGTCTTCATAGAGTACAGTTGGATGTCATCTGCGTAAAGATGGTAGGAGACTCCTTTAAAGGAAATCATCAATCTTTAACTATTTGGACATAGACTTTATTAGAATCAGGAGCAGATAGAAGTATTTAAGTCCTTTGTTTAGAAAAGGGATGTATGTTTGCCTTCTTCAACAGCGGACTGCCTCATTGACTGACATCCATTGCGGTGAGTGTGTCACATTGTTCATTGTCCGGTGGTATGCGGAGATCGTTTGAAAGGCAACGGTAGAACCCACCCCACGACCGAGATCCATCAATGGTGCGTTCCCAAACTAAATAGTATAGTTGTTTAGTCTGGCTTGCCAGGCTACAGCATTGAAAACATGTTTTAAGCTAGCTTGTTTTGCAGATTTGCTATTGTAGCTTTAATGCTAAAACTGTGATGGAGAAAAATGACAAAGACTACATCAACCTCAGGAATAATACTCGTTTGAAACAGCTTGTGCATCGTCATTTAGACGATTTAGACTTGAAAGTGTCTTTAAGACGTGAGCAGATGGAGGTATTTGTCATTTAATTTAAAAAAAGGATAGATTTGCTTCTTCTGATACGACGGTGTATGGCAGATTTCCCCATTGACTGATTTCTGTAGTGATGAATACAGAGCTCTGATTGGTCCTAGCTCTGTCCAATTGTGTGCGGACAACCATAGATTCCGCTCTATGACTAAGCTCTGTCTATGGGATGTGGCCAGACTTTTTCATTAATTAATTAAGAGCAGGGTTAAAACACAAACTGTGTTTTTTTCCATTTATCATCAGTATAATCATCAACAAAGGGTCAAACTAGAAGACACACTATTATGCTCAAGCCTTTTCACCACTGGGATCTGCAACACTGCACTAAAATTCTTTCTTTTGAGGTTTTTTATTATTCTGATTTACTATTTTTATTGACATTTTATTGTTGTTCTTTTTAGATGCTGTTTTTTTGTCAAATGTTGTTCATCAAATGTTTGTATTTGTGTTCAGCACCTCGGGCTTCTGCTGAGGTAGTGGAAGGTGCTTTATGAATTAAATGAAATATCTTTATATTGTAACAATAATGGTAAAAAAAAACAAGCTTTTTAAGTATTTTTCTTACATTTTTGCAGAATTTTTTTAGATCATTTGAAAACCCAGATATTGAATGCTTCCCAGCCCCTTTGCATGTTAATTACTGCATCTGTAACCTTGTGAAACTCTTTTCTTCTCACATTCGAACGTTTTAAACCATGCCCCACAGCTCTGATGACCAAACAGAACTCATCCAAAAGAAAACAGCTATGATGGCACCTATGTAGCAGTCACTTGTTTCCCCTTTTCTCAAAACCATCTGTCACCAAGCCTGTTGTCAACTCTGGGTGACGTCTACCTTTAATACCCAGCGCAGCCATGGGCGCATGGCAGGTCGCCAATCAAAGTCAGACACAGGGACACACTGTCTTCATTTAGAATTTGCTGCATGTATCACAAATAATGCTGCTGAATGAATATCCGATCAGCAACCCAGGCGAAACTGGATTTAATGTTTGTCTCATCTGTGTATCCCTGCACATCCATCCACATCTGTCTCTGACATATCTTTCAGTCTGTGTCTGACCTGTCTGCGCTCTACCTCCCAGCAGCAGAGTCTGCGTCTACCCAGCAGCTCCAACATGTCAGCCGGAGGAGTCTCGGCCCTGACTCCTCTGCCACCGGAGCTCCGCGATTTGCTGCGGCAGCGTCTGGGGGCACTTGAGACGCAGCTCCTCCGGAAGGTGGCTGAGCTGGAGGAGGAGAAGAGCCAGCTCTACAACGAGACGGCGGCCCACCGCCAACGCACCGAGAGTGCTCTCAATTCCCTCATGGAGAGGATCACGGAGCTCGAGAAAAGTAAGCGAGTCGTGCGCTGGGTGCTGCAAAATGTTCCAGTTCAATGCCAAACTTTAAATGTTTTATTTTTCCTGACAGATTTGGCATTAATTAGTCAATTCCCAAGCAAAAGTTCAGATGATGCAAGCAAAGATTTCACAACGGGCTCTTTTATTTCTCACACAGCCGTTCTCTGAGAAGCTCCTGGTCTTAAAATTAAGGCCAAGAAAGCAAGACTGAATTCTTAATTAGTTGAAGAAATATTCAAGAGATGTCCACACTCCAGGGGTTCTCTTTGATGGTCAAAATCAGGCAGCACGTCTGTAGTATACCTCACCACTCAGTGGACATTTCCTGTAGGCCCAGGGCTGAGCAGACTTTGTCCAGTACAAGGTGAGTTTAGGGTAACCAGACTTAATTGCTCACATTGAAAGAGAATGAACACAATAAAATCTAATTTAAAATCAAACTGTTGTGAAATCTCAGTAAATAGCCTTATCCCAGGTCTCCGGTGCCAGAGAGGTTTTACAGTGAGTTTTATTAGATTGAATTTGGAGGGGTGAGGATTTTTCAACATAATAATCTATATTAATGGTGCTGCAGTGGCTTTATAACCGAATGTCTCCTTTTCCCTGATTTACAGTGAAATTAGCTCAGACAAAGGATGACCTGGAAGCTTGAACTTGTGCTTCTTGGAAAACTGGGATTTTAAAAGCCAGGAGAGGGAATCGTACATGCAGATTGTATCTTTCATGTTATAGTTTTAGTTTTGAGTCGTGGAGGATGGCTGCTTATACTGAGCCGGGATTCTCTGGAGGTTTCTTCCTGTTAAAAGGGAGTTTTCGTCTCCACTGTCGCTATATGCTTGCTTAGTATGAGAATTGCTGTATAGTCACTGACACTAGTCAGTGACTTGATGCAATTTGCTGGTTTCCTTATATAGGAAACATTATTTCTGATTGGCTTAATGAACTGGCCTGATTTGGAATGTTTATTATGTGAAGTGCCTTGAGACGACTCTTGTCATGATTTGGAGCTGTATAAATAAACTTGAGTTGAAATGAATTTTTTATGTTGAACGAATGGATAGTAGAAAACATGTAAAGATGTTTCTGTGGTAAATGAATAGCTCAGTGTAACAAAGCCAGCATTTTAATGAAAGTTTAATTCCATCTTCTTTATTGCAAAGATTATCTTCACATTTTTGTTCAACGGAATTCCTAACCAAAACAATTCATCCACTTTCCTCTTTTTACATTTGCCTATAAACTTAAATGGATTACCTACCATGTCCGCATTGGCTGCACATAAAATATGAGCCATTCATCCTGGGTTACGACCCCACCACCTGATGACCACTATCCCCCTAAATTTGATGACTTTTGATTTAGATCAAGAAAAACTCACAACTTCACTCGAACAATAACGTTTGATTTGACTTGATTGGCATCAATTGAATTGAAATTACTCGATGATTTAGCTCTGAAAGTGGCATAACATTATATCACAGAACCTAATCGTTGGACTTTATGCTTTTCCCGTGCACCACTCACACTTTGCTTTTTAAAACAACTTTAGCATTATCAGTTGAAGTACTTGTTTCTGATGGGAGATCAAAAACTGTACATACACACTCACACATGGTTCAACGTTATTTTACCCAATATGACAACTGCTTAAAGGCACAATTGGCAGTTTTGGCTTGCTTTTAGCACCCCCTAGTGTCTTTTTAGTAGAACCAAAAGAAAAACTTTTCTTCTCGCTGTGCGTTCGTCTTTTTAACACCTTAATCCAACAGCTGAAATGCCTCCCCAGCCTTCCTTAGTGTCTACAGGAGCGATTCATCACTAAATCAGACAAATAGTCAGCTGTGTTCATGATCTAAAACATACAGGAAACGTGCTGGAAGCAGACTGCTGCTCCCGGTATGTCAGTTCCTTTTTTTCTAAATCCAAAAGGGACCAGATTGGCACTCTGAAGTTGCAAGTGCGATATTCTGGCCATAGAGGGCGGTGGGGGTCTGAGTGACGTTAACCCAGTAAAGAGTCATTTTAGCACATACTGGCTCAAGAACAGGATTTCAAAACATGAAAAAGTTGCATCGTGTGGCTTTAGGTAGTGACACAATTGAAGTGGGCACACTCTGAAAGTGGGGAACTCACAAAAGAAAGTCCAGTTTAAAACTATTAGCAGATGAATAAAATCTAAAAAAACTAAGTATAAACAGATCAATAAGAATAAACTGCAAGAAATAAGGTTATGAATAAATCAAACAAACAAGAAAATAACACGATTCATTCATAATTTTTTTACTACTTTGCCTTTTGCTTCAGTTAACTCCATATTAAATCTACATCATCACTGTTGCATTAGCATCTCCCAAATCACCTTTGCTTACGTTATTAATCATCTCTGAATTAATTAAGTTATTTTCCCAATCAATGTGCTGGTCTTTTATGAATAAGTAAAGCCTGCTGCTAAATGAATGCCCTGGTTATACTCCTCTGGCTGTAAATCAGACACGTGGCGATGGGACATAACATGCATATTGTGACAGTGATAGCAGAGGAAGACGTAACAGAGGTGTGTGTGACTGCAGCAGCATTTGAAAGCCTGAGTTGACTGTTTGTTACACTTTGCACGTTTAAGGCAGCAGCTCCGAGTGGGAAAAAGCAATTTTCCACTCATTCACGGTTCAGTGGAGACAATAATAAAGATAAATAGTAGTAAATACCAGAGCAAAAAAGTGAATTACAGAACAACATTTGTTTCTGATACTTTCAGGGAAAAGTATACAAATGCCCAAAATTCACACTGTGCTGATTTTATAGGCTTTACTATAAAGTCCCTTCTCCAATGCAGCTCATGTTCCACTTAAAACATGTTCATTGCCTAAACTAGAGACCTTATTATGTCTATGACCTCAATAGAGAGCAGGTATTCAGGCTCCTGTTTATTTGGGACTGAAATTACAAACATCTATTCATCCTCATCCTCTAACGAGTATCCTAACACTTAGCTTATCTATTCACTGTCCTACATTTTATTGTTTTACACATTTTTCTTCCTAGTCTCTTAGACCGTTTGAATAAATCATACACCTAAACAAAAGTACATTATTCTGCATTAGAAGTTTGCAAACTCCCCCGCTCTCAGAGTTTCTGAGTCGCCTTAAATGATTCAGAGTTCATCTTGACAGTGAGATGGCACTGTGTGTGACGGTTTTATTTAAACCGCACTCGTCTTCACAGTCTGTGCTTCAAAATGTGTGAATCGTGGGTAAAACTATGATTGTGGAAACGTAGAAAAGGATTTATAGAAACTCATCAGGCTAGTAGGCATTTTCAAAAGGGTTCGAACAGAACCTAGGGTGTGGCTTTACACAGGAAACATCAAAAGGACTCTAATAAAGATTAACATTGATGAGTTCAACATCAGAAGGACACGGAATAACAACAAACAACGGATCAGAAAGAAAACACGTGGATTTTAATAAAGAGAAACACAATAGCAGTAAAATCTGCTGTTTTGTACGAATCAGAGAACAGTTGGGGTTATATATGATACTGGCTTAAGTGCATGCTGTACATGTCCTGGGTACAACAGTGGCAGTATTATCATGGTTTGGGCCTGCCTTGCCGCAGCTGCACAGGGACAGCTCAAACACTTCTGAGTGACAGTTGTGTAAATTACAAAGGAGAATGTCGAGATATCCGTCAGTTAACTGTTTAAAGTTGAAAGTGGGTCATGCAGCCACTGAGTTTGACTCACCCCAGTTCTTTTACCATTTATTCTAAATAATCTAGAAAAGCCTGAATTGAAGCTGATGTGAGAACATCCTTGAGTTCCTCCAACAAGATTGTTTTTACACATAAAGCAGATCTTCGTGGTCTTAAAGTGTCTTTCTTAAAGCTAAATGTTTACGTACTGTTACAGATTGTAGAGCTGTGTGTGTGTGTGTGTGTGTGTGTGTGTGTGTGTGTGTGTGTGTGTGTGTGTGTGTGTGTGTGTGTGTGTGTGTGTGTGTGCGTGTGCGCAGTATGATATACTAAATCATTTTAGGCTCATCTAAATTCACAGTCCACACACAGACCTTTACCTTTTGCTGTTTGCAACACAACGTTTTCTGCGAGCACCAGAAACTTTTCTTGCACAACAACCTAAATGTTGTGCAAGAAACTTTGAGTGAGCATGGAGGAGAATGTTTTAAAAATGTTTTTTTTTCCCTACATTTTACCTTTAGAGGATTCTAGGTTTCATATGCATATATTGTGATTACTTTTGCTAAAAGTTTATTTTTATTTGATAAAAATGTTTTTTGGTAGGGTTTATATATGGCAATTTAATGCATTAAATACAATTAATGAATTATCATTTTAAAAAGACGATTAAAAAATATGACATACAGTAAACATACCAACCATGTACATCATATAGACAAAACAAAACGGAACTAAAATAATTTCAAGCTGCACCTCTAAAAAGACTGCAGAGCCTGGGCTACATGTTCTAAACACAAATAAAACTATCCGTCTATCCATCCATCCATCTTTGGCCGCTTATCCAGGGTTGGGTCGCGGGGGCAGTAGTCTTAGCAGGGAGGCCCAGGCTTCCCTTTCCCCAGACACTTGGACCATTTCCTCCGGGGGAATCCTAAGGTGATCCCTGGCCAGCCATGAGATAGTCTCTCCATCGTGTCCTGGGTCTACCTTTAGGTCTTCTCCCTGTTGGATGAGCTATTTTAGTCACAATAAGAAAATAGGTTTATGCACAATCATAACATCCAGAGGCTCATCCACCCCCAGAGTCTTGCCACCAAGGAGCTTTTTGACCACCTCAGTGATCTCAACACCAGAGACTGGAGAGCCCAACCCAAAGTCCCCGAACCCTGCTTCCTCACTGGAACACGTGTCGGTGGCGTTACACCCCTCCTGGCCTAGGAATTACCAGGAGGGGCAACTCAAGTGAGGTGGGAGCAAAATTAGGGGACTACGTATTACTGTACATGAATTTTATTAACA